CTTCCCTGCACCACCTCCTCTCATGGTCATCAACACTCTGTGACAGGGCCGGCCTCCCCTGCTGAGACCTGACAAAGGTCCGGCCTCTGCTCCATCCATCCCAGTCTCTGCCCGACGCCTGGTAGTCATGAGGTGTGAACGAACAGGCCTAGGGGGCGGCAGGCATGTTCGGGACTGGCTTTCCAGTGATGGCCGCCAGCGTTAGTGTGTTGGTTACTGCTGGCCTGGACACCGACAACGGACGCCTCACAGGTGCGATGCACCATGTGGGAAGTTTTTCAGATAAAATCGGAGATTTAACAGACATTCCAGTGGGGGTGCTGAGTCCCACCCATGGCACATTGCAGGCCCATCATGGCCGGGGCTGATGACCAGGGTCAGGGAGATCCCAGGGCCCTCCAGCTCTCTCCCAGCCTCCTGATGTGGAGGAGGGGGAACTCGTGCTCACCCCCAGAGAGAAGGGAGTCCACACACTGCATCTGAGCTGGCGGTGGGCAGGGTACCCACCTCGGTGAGCAGCCTGGGGTGCGCCTGGGATAAGGCCGAGGTCCCAGAGACAAGGGCTGGGGAGGTGGGTGCAGACAGCCTCCACTTTCACTGTGGCCCCTTCCTCTGAGGCCAGGCCTGGGATGTTTCTGCCCCACGGCTCCGGCCCACCTGCCAGGCCTGTCCGTCCTTGGATGAGGGCAGGGAGAGGTGGGGTGGCCAATGGCAAGTAGAGTCTTCAAAAGTGCACAGGCCGGGCGCGGTGGTTGTGGCGCTCACACCTGGTAATCCCAGCACTTTGGGAGGACCAAGGCACGTGGATCACCTGAGGTCAGGAGTTTCAGGACCAAACAACATTGGGGAAACCCCGTCTTACTAAAAATACAAAAAAAAAAAAAAATTAGGCCGGCCGCATGGTGGGCGGCATGCCTGTAATCCCTAGCTACTCGGGCGGGACGGCTGGAGAGCAGGAGATCGCTGCGAGCGCCAAGACAGACCTTTCTCTCCAGGCCTGGGCAACAGGAGGAAACAAGGCAGAAAAGGCTCCGCGGAGGTGCCGGCAGGGAGGCGTTTTCCTTCTCTCTTACAGTCACACGATTTGGCAGGTGTTTATTTGCTATTTAACTGTCCTTCTAAAATAAAGAAAAATGTTAAAATTTTTAAATTATGGCCGGCGCAGTGGCTCAACACCTGTAATCCCAGCACTTTGAGAGCCCGAGGCGGGTGGATCATGAGGTCAGGAGTTTGAGACCAGCCTGGCCAACATGGTGAAACCCGTCTCTACATAAAAATACAAAAATTAGCTGGTGTGGTGTGTGGCTCCTGTAGTCCCAGCTACTTGGGAGGTGAGGCAGGAGAATGGCATGAACCCGGGGAGGCGGAACTCGCAGTGAGGCCGAGATCGCGCCACCGCACTCCAGCCTGGGCGACAGAGCGAGATTCTCCTCAAACAGCAACAACAACAACAACAACAACAAAGAACCCCACAAGTTCAGAGGTAAAATGATTAAGAATTTCAGGACAGCCTTGGCCACAGGCCCTCCGATTCCAGGCCCTGGGCACTGCACTCCCCACCACCAC